GTGTTAGTTGTCTCTTCAGAGGTTGCATGGCTTTTCACTTTCCTTCTTATGATGTCTTCGACGAAACCATTGGAGAAGCCGTTATTGACTAGGACCTGCCTTACCCTACAGAGTTCTTCGTCGACTTGCTTCCATTCTGAGCTGTGGCTGAGAGCACGGTCGACATATGCGTTAACAACACTCCTCTTGTACCTGTCTGGGCAGTCGCTGTTGGCATTTAGGCACATTCCTATGTTTGTTTCCTTAGTGTAGACTGCAGTGTGGAAACCTCCGCCCTTTTCCATGACTGTTACATCTAGAAAGGGCAGCTTCCCATCCTTTTCCATCTCGTAAGTGAAACGCAGCACGGAACTCTGCTCAAATGCCTCCTTCAGCTCCTGCAGATGTCTGACATCAGGTACCTGTGTAAAAATGTCGTCAACATACCTGCAGTATATGGCCGGTTTCAAGTTCATGTCGACTAAGACTTTTTGCTCGATGGTACCCATGTAGAAGTTTGCAAACAGGACACCTAGGGGAGAACCCATGGCGACCCCATCTACTTGCTTATACATGTGCCCATCCGGGCTCAAGAAGGGTGCCTCTTTAGTACAAGCTTGGAGTAGTTTCCTCAGAATATTTTCTGGTATGTCAAGAGGAGTACAGGCTGGATCACGATACACTCTGTCGGCTATCATTCCGATTGTCTCGTCCACAGGTACGTTGGTAAACAGCGATTCTACGTCCAACGAGGCTCTTATCCCTGTGGCCCGTGTGCCCCGCAGTAAGTCAACAAATGACTTACTGCGGGGCACACGGGCCACAGGGATCATTCCGATTGTCTCGTCCACAGGTACGTTGGTAAACAGCGATTCTACGTCCAACGAGGCTCTTATCCCTGTGGCCCGTGTGCCCCGCAGTAAGTCAACAAATGACTTACTGCGGGGCACACGGGCCACAGGGATAAGAGCCTCGTTGGACGTAGAATCGCTGTTTACCAACGTACCTGTGGACGAGACAATCGGAATGATAGCCGACAGAGTGTATCGTGATCCAGCCTGTACTCCTCTTGACATACCAGAAAATATTCTGAGGAAACTACTCCAAGCTTGTACTAAAGAGGCACCCTTCTTGAGCCCGGATGGGCACATGTATAAGCAAGTAGATGGGGTCGCCATGGGTTCTCCCCTAGGTGTCCTGTTTGCAAACTTCTACATGGGTACCATCGAGCAAAAAGTCTTAGTCGACATGAACTTGAAACCGGCCATATACTGCAGGTATGTTGACGACATTTTTACACAGGTATCTGATGTCAGACATCTGCAGGAGCTGAAGGAGGCATTTGAGCAGAGTTCCGTGCTGCGTTTCACTTACGAGATGGAAAAGGATGGGAAGCTGCCCTTTCTAGATGTAACAGTCATGGAAAAGGGTGGAGGTTTCCACACTGCAGTCTACACTAAGGAAACAAACATAGGAATGTGCCTAAATGCCAACAGCGACTGCCCAGACAGGTACAAGAGGAGTGTTGTTAACGCATATGTCGACCGTGCTCTCAGCCACAGCTCAGAATGGAAGCAAGTCGACGAAGAACTCTGTAGGGTAAGGCAGGTCCTAGTCAATAACGGCTTCTCCAATGGTTTCGTCGAAGACATCATAAGAAGGAAAGTGAAAAGCCATGCAACCTCTGAAGAGACAACTAACACAACACCTATACCCCCTATTAGACTATTTTACAGGAACTTCTTTTCCACAGCTCATAAAACGGAGGAAAGGGTCCTGAAAGATATTGTTAATAGAAACGTTATCCCTACAGACAAAAATCAGAGGATACAACTGACGATTTACTATAAAACCAGAAAAACGGCCAGCCTACTCATGAGAAACTCTCCAGACACAAAACAGAACGCTTTAAAAGAGACTAACGTCGTCTATGCCTTCAAATGCCCACTTGGGGACTGTAAGCTCAAAAAAAAACAGTATATAGGCAAGACAACAACATCTCTTTCTAGGCGTTTAACGATGCATAAGCAACAGGGCTCCATTAAGGAACATATAATCTCTTCCCACAACCAAACCATCGCCAGAGAAATCCTAGTAAACAACACAGAAATCATCGATAGATACAGCGATAGCAGGCGGCTTGACGTTTACGAGGCACTACACATCAAGAAGTCAACACCAGCAATCAACAGCCAATTATTGCACAACTATATTCTACCCACCTCAAGACTCCGCTCCAATATAGAAGCATCAAGAAATATGGACCAATAGGCTTTCTACAAACACTTCTATTCAATATCCATTGTTTCGTGTTCTGTCTTGTGTTGATGAAATTAATACCCTATTAATACTCTTGTTCTGTCTTGTGTTGATGAAATTAATACCCTATTAATACCACATTTTGTTCTGTCTTGTGTTAATGCCACATCACCCCTTCCACCTCACTCAAATGTAGATATAAAATCGGAGATACGTAAGTTCTATTCAGTTGTGTATTTGTGAACTAAAGTCTTTGAAAATGTAATAAGTTTTACGAAACGCGCCCGTGTCGCGTCAGACTAGAAATAAAAATGAATTTTGGAGAATTGATTTTTGATTTACCTCCAACAGTGAAGCGTAATGTACGAAAGATTGAGAAAATTCGTGTTAGAATTATTAATCTTACTTTTTCGGTCATATTTAATAATATATGTCTACAGGAAAGACTGCTACCAAAATATACTAATATATATATATATATATATATATATATATATATATATATATATATATATATGGACAGATAGATGGGCAAATAGATGAATGGATGGATAGATGGATGAATAGATTGAGAAATAGATGGATAGATAGAAAATCATGAGACTGAGACTAATTGTATAGCAGGTAAGACAATGCAAAGGAATATTTCTGAATAATGTCTATGGATTTTTATGAATAAATTCCTAATTGTATACTAATGTATAGTAACGCGCCAAGACTTGGCTCTCACAACAGTTACAAGGATTGTATTGAAGACTCACCAGGACTCTCATGGTGGCTGTGCTTCTGTCCGCTGTTGCTGAAGAAAGACGTTTCCGGGTGATGGGATTCCTTCCACCTATATATATACCTGAGCACGGAGATGCGAAGGATGATCACCTGACCTTCAGTGTAATACCCCTCACACGCATTCTTTCATTTATTATTTGACTGATAATGTCGATAGATATTATCAATCAATATTTATGTACTTTCCAGCCTCTGCGTTAGGCAATGTATTTACACTTGAGGATCATGCCTCATAGCTATCGTTCATCTTACGTTAATACGTTGTAATATCTTGTAATTGCACCTGTTTCTCCAGTTCTCTGTAATAAAAGCTATTCCTCGAGCGCTTTGTAATACACCTATATCTCCAGCGCCTTGCAATATCTGTCCTATAATTTCTGCACGAGTCTCCCTCTAATATCTTCTTCTCAAGAACGTTCCATATAATGACAACTTTCATGCTGGATCAGTAGACTACTTCCGTGTATCGCTCTGGCTCACTCATGTCTGCACGTTCCACGTGGCTTTCCGTTCTATTTCCTCGAATATTAACAGTCAATTTTCCTCTTTATTGATCCCTTTCACTATCCCATACGGTCTTATCATATCTCTTACTAGTTAGTCTCTTTTCAGGTTTTTGGGTTGGTTATGTCAGGGGTCTTGTTAGACCCCTGACATACCTGTCAGGGGTCTTCAGGAGCATTCATATGGCATAATAGTGTATATTTTCAAGTGACGTGTTATGCATCCTAAAATACGGATTCGACTCAGAAGTCCCCGGATATTCCGTTAATATGTAGTGTCCTGGATATCGTTCCTTTGGCGTTTAATTTATTTTCCTTAATTGGCTTGTTGCACATGTGTTTCTGATGTGGTCCTTCAAGTGCGCTTTTCTGGGTGATAGTTTTGGTGTGAGGTCTCCACGGAGGTTGTTTTCCTTTTTTCCAAAACAACGAGTAACCTCGTTGTCTAACCTCGTTAGACAACGAGTAACGAGTAACGTTGTCTAACTAACGAGTAACCTCGTGGGAGGGTTACTCCCACTCAAGCTGTACTTTTTGTTTCATATCTCCTGTTTGTTATCTATCATCATGTTCTCTCTCTGATTCCTCTGCTAGGTACACTATCATCCATGTTATTACATCTCCTGGCATAGAGCTTTCTCCTTCAAATTTCCTTACCTTACCTCTTGATATGTTGCACTACGCTGCTACTTTTGATTGTATCTTGCAGAGAATACTTATCAGTGGCACCGTCTGAAGTTATACACCGCTTTCCTATCCCATTTCTTAAATGCTGGTTTCAATCATAAAAGTGTTTCTCAGAGTTTTTTATTTAGAAGTACATTTTCTAATTACCTCATCTCTCGTGGAAGTGGCAAGCCAATATGCAACTGAAAACTCCACACCCCAGAAGGATTCGAACCCAGACAGCCAGGAACACTATGCACCTTGACGTACCTGCTACCTTAACCACTAGACCACACTTACTGTACAAAAAAACTTTGGTAGTCGAGAGACTATTTATCCAAGATCAGATAGCGCTCGGTGGTCAACTTGGGCATACTAAGATTTACCAAGATTTTTGTACCGTCAGTGTAGTCTAGTGGTATTAGCATACTAGCATACTATGCATATTTAGGCATTGGTTAGCTTAGGTTACGTGTTTAGGTTCCGTCGGCGATTATTTGTATTTGTAGTACGTGGGTGAAGCATTTGCAGCGTTGTGGTTCGAACAAAAGTCGTTAGCGAAGCACTAGCTCGAGAAGGGTTCGAACGTCATCAATTGTGAGTCGTGTGTAAACCATTTTTCATTCATTAACAAGGGGGTTTTGCTGGTGCATGGAATGGACTTTGGCCTTTGTTTATGTGGACAGGCTATTTTATTTGTATTACGTGGGTGAAGCATTTATAGAGATGAAGTTTCATCTGCTATCAGATGAAGTTTCCACTGAAGGCATAAATCCGTTCTTGATATCAAAATAAAAAAAGTAGTTAAAAAATTATTCTTTATTCAGCTGATAAATACTAAAAACATTACAGTTTGTATTAATCACCTAGCATTCTAATTATCATTATATTATTGCAATTTTCCAAAGGGTAGTATTGTGTGATTATCGCCAAATGACGGTTATGTAAACATTTGTTTGACAGAGTTTAATCCAATCATCATTGGGTTCAACTTCTAATACCTTTATTACAAGCTCTGAATGGTAAGGGAATTTATTGGTTTAGAAAGAACATAAGAAACAGTCCTGTGCTCAGCCGAAGGAATCGGTCAGCGTGGCTGGTCCTGTGTAAGAGGGCTGCTTAGCAGCTCCTAGCCGATGTAGCCACCCTTATTGTAGCCATGGAGAGGTAGTCCATATCCAATCCCGTAGCCACCACCGAGGCCGTGCCCCAAGCCTCCGAGACCTCCGAAGCCTTTGAGTCCACCGAGACCGTGCCCGAGACCTCCTAGAACTCCAAGGCCTTTGAGACCACCGAGACCGTGCCCAAGACCACCAAGAACTCCGAGACCATTGAGACCGCCGATGCCATGCCCAAGCCCTCCAAGACCCCCGATGCCGTACCCGAGGCCTTTAAGACTTCCAAGTCCCCCGAGTCCTCCAAGGCCCCCGAGTCCTCCAAGGCCTTTGAGACCACCAAGGCCGTGCCCGAATCCCCCGATACCGTTCCCAAGACCGTATCCGAGGCCTTTGAGACCACCAAGGCCGTGCCCGAGGCCTCCAAAGCCCCCGAGACCGTACCCGAGGCCTTTGTGTCCACCGATTCCAAGACCAAGACCCCCGAGGTGGCCAAGACCTCCAAGACCAAGGCCGATACTTGGCTTTGCCTTAGGGTCTGCAGCAGCTTCTGGGTCTGCGGCTGCTAGCGCAACTAACACGAACAGGATCTGAAAGTATACGGAGAAGAGTGTTAACTAACATGATTGACGCAGAAATATCTATATAATCTTCGACCTCACTATTGTTTACATCGTGTGTGTTTACTTTATATATATTGTTGGTCCCCTAGACCAGGGCTTTTCAAACTGTGGGTCCTAACCCATTGATGGGTCGAAAAATAAATATAAAGGGTCGAGACAAACAGAAAAAGTCTCCAAAAATAAGCAAATGGGATCGACTATCTCATTAGCACTTATTACTCATCATTGGAATCTACGAGACCGATCTCTTGTTACCAGGCGATTGGTGCTGAATTGCTACATCTTAGTCGTTCATTTATAATGAAGAATGAATTTGAACAATTAAATTTGCCATCAATTTGGAGTAAGGTTAAAGGAGAATTTTCACTTTTAAGTAAATAGGCAATTCTGAGACTATTTTTACATTTTACTATGCTTATTTGTGGGAACTAGGATTTTTCACATTAACTCAATAAAAAATGAAACAGAAACACCACAACAATGCGTATATCATTGTCTACTTTTATTCCAATGTGCATTTAACTACTTACGAACAAAAAGAACATCTTTCTCAATAACTTAAAACTTTTTAAAATATTGTTGTCTGTCTTTTGCGCTAGAATTTCATTCAAGTATTTTTAATTTTTTTTTTGTTTACATTCTTCGTAAAAATACAAACATGTAATTTAATTGGGTAGGTTCCCTCAAAAATATATTTATTTTTTCATGTGTCAGTTGTAAATAAAGGAACACAGTTCACAGAGTTTGTGTCTGACTTATTACACAAGCATTCTGGGTTGGAATACAAAATGCCTACAACTATATTGGGTCGGAATACAAAATGCATACTACTATACTGGGTCGCAATACAAAATGCCTACTACTATACTGGGTCGCAATACAAAATGCAGTTCTTGCCGTGTACAGCAGTAAAATAGTTTGAAAATCGCTGCCCTAAACCAATGGTTCCCGACCCTCTTGCTATTTTATTTTTAATCATATAAGCTTTTAAAACTATGAACGGGAATAGCCTCAACTATCATCTGTTCTTAGTAACTACTTTCTTACATTTTTGTGACTTATCTGAGCCTCCCCTTGGCTTTTCGGTCCCACACATATATCGTTCTTAGCGTCTCATCTGCCTTGTATATACTATTTGTATTTACTATTTGTGCCAGCAGAATGGAGCTATTAGCTCTTGGACCCCGCCTTTTTAACAAACGTATTTTCCTCTATTATGTCTACTACATATATTTTTAACACGCGCACACACACACACATACACAAGTCCCCAGGAAGAAGCCCGTAGCAGCTGTCTAACTCCCAGGTACATATTTACTTCTAAGTGAACAGGTGCATCAATGTGAAAGAAACTGCTCTTTTGTTTCTGCCTCGGCCGGAAATCGAACCCGGGCCCTTAGGACTATGACCTCAGAGCGCTGTCCACTCAGCCGCAAGGCCTCTATGCGTGTGTAATTACCTAAATGTAGTTACAGGATGAGAACTATGCTCGTGGTGTCCCGTCTTTCCAGTACTCTTTGTTGTATAACACTTTGAAACTACTGACGGTCACCACCTTCTCAGTTAGTTTATTCCTAAGATCTAGCACTATGTTTGCAAAAGGAAATTTTCTAATATTTTTTCGGTACCTCTGCTTTCTTAGCTTGAATCTGTGTCCTCTTGTTCGAGATGCTGCTGGTTTCAGGAATTCCTCTGTGTCAATTTGGTTGATTCGTATTAGTATTTTGTAAATGGTGATCATATCTCCTCTTTTTCTTCTATCTTCTTGTTTCGGCATGTATAACGCCTCCAGTCTCTCCTCGTAACTCATATTTTTCAGTTCTGGAAGTCATTTTGTAGCAAGCCGTTGCCCCTTTTCCAGTTTATTTATGTGCTTCTTGAGATTTGGGCACCATTCAACTGCTGTATATTCTAATTTAGGTCTCACAAAAGTCATGAACAATTTTGTTAGTATTTCACCATCCATATAATTAAAAAACAAATCTGAAGTTAGAAAGCGACACATACGCTCTTCTCACAATGTTCTTTGTGTTCCTCTGGCGACAGCTTACTATCCAAAGCCACTCCTAGGTCTCGTTCTTTATTAGATTTCTGTAATTTCTTTCCACATAATTTGCAAGTTGTGGGTGTTATATTTTATCCGATTCCACATTCCATAACATGGCATTTATTCACATTTAATTACATTTGCCACTTATTTTATCTAGATAAATTAGAAGGACATTACTATCGTCTGCGTCTCCTATCTTCCCAAGTATCTTAGCATCATCCGCAAACATGTTTATATAATTCTGTATCCTTCTGGTGATCGTTTATGTAGACGATGAAAATTACAGGTGCAAGAACTGAACCCTGTGGTACTCCGGTAGTAACACACCTCTAGTCAGATACATTGTCTCTGATTACTGCCCTCATTTGTCAGTTAGAAAAAATTTTCCTCCATGTCAGAAGTCTCCCTGTCACTCCTCCAGCATGTTCCAGTTTCCAAAACAGCCTCGTGTGTGGAACTCAGTCAAAATTTTTTTTAGGTCCAGATAGACAGTCAATAAAACCATCTCTTTCCTGAAGTATCTCTGTGGTTCTATCATAAAAACTAAGAAGATTTGTTACACAGGATCTTCCTGTTCGAAAACCATATTGTCTGTCTGTTATTATGTCATTACTCTCTAGGTGTTCAACCAATTTGACTTTAACTCTTTTTTCTAGTGTTTTGACTACCACGCTTGTTAACGATCTGGGTCTATAATTTAGAGGTTCCTCTCGACTACCATTTTTATAGATTGGTACAATGCTTCCCTTTTTCCATATATCTTTTAAGATTGTGTGTGTGTGTGTGTGTGTGTGTGTGTGTGTGTGGGTGTGGGTGTGGGTGTGTGTGTTTGTGTTCTTACATAGTAGTTCTTATCTAATAGTCCTCGTGTGTTAGGAGGAAGATCTCTTGTAACCAGCTTTCCGAACTATTAATAATCTCAATTAACAATCTGATTTAAATAGTAAATAGCTATATACTTATATTTGCAAAAAAATACAACAACTAGGGCTCATTATAAATTCAAAATGTAAGGCTGATGAGCTATTGTCCTCCATCATAGCGCTGAACGAACGTTGAAGTGATTGATGTATATAAACGTATGAAAAGTATTAATAATTATGATATAAAGGCGTTCAAAATATAAATACAAAACTAGCAACAACACAATCAAATGAGATAAATTATTATTTACAAAGGCTAAAAGAGAACATTATTTCTAACAGAGCAGTTTATAAGGACTCGGGCAATACACTGGTATGTTGTACAAATTGGATGAACAATTTCATAAGTTAAAGCGAATGAGTGTCAATGAGATGTTCCATGCTTGGGGAAGTAGGCTTATTGCAATGTTCCAATGTTCTTATGTTTCTTATGATATCTGGTATAATTCTATTGAAAATTAATCATGATTTTTATGTGCTTTTGCAGTTCATTTCACCGATTCACTAAAGCACTATAACCCATTATATTCGTACGTCTCATGTGTTTCTTTAGATATGGGTGTCATGCAGGAGTGTGTCCATGCGTGTAGTATGGGATTCGGTTTAGTCAAGGTCTATATCACTCGTGTTTCTCTGCATGTCAGTAAGCAGACATATTACCAAGGGAAGGTAGAGTCCCAAAGCCCTCACTGATGCACAACACTAAGAAAATTCCGAGTCCTGAGGACTCACCTGGCTCTTCATGGCTGTCGGGTGTCCCTTGTCTTCTGCAGGAGGGAGGTGAAGTGTGGGCGTGTCGGCCATCTCCCCGTATATATATATACTCCCACCAACCCACACATCGAGGACAAACTTTGGTACCAGGCACAATAATCATGAAATATTTGGCGTCATTGTCATGATTTTCCTCGGGACGTCATGTTGGATTGTTATGTTGTATAGTTCAAAATAAAAAAAATCTAATCAAAATGTTTTATTCAGTTAAAAGTACATACATAGAAGATGAGTTACAAACATAATTTTGGATTTATAGATAGAGCTAGTACATACAATACCTAAAGTCACTGTTATGTACAGCGTTTCGGGCAATATGTAGTTATGTAGTGTTGTTATGTAGCGTCGTTATGTAGCTTCGTAATGAAGCGTCATTCTGTAGTGTCATTATGTGCGTGGCGATGTTACAGGCGAAGGCCAAGGGACGAGTCACTTGGACGTTGTGCATCAAGGACATAGAAGGCGAAATTATTTGCTGTTGTTGGCAGACATCCTGCTGACTATGCTGATGTATTTACTGATGATGCTGATGTATTTACTGATGATGCTGAAGTATTTACTGATGATGCTGAAGTATTTACTGATGATGCTGAAGTATTTACTGATGATGCTGATGTATTTACTAATGATGCTGATGTATTTACTGATGATGCTGATGTATTTACTGATGATGCTGATGTATTTGCTGATGATGCTGATGTAGTTACTGATGATGCTGATGTATTTACTGATGATGTTGTTGATGTTATTAATGTAATTGTTGTTGCTGACAGACATCCAGTTGGTGATAGTGATGATCTTGTTGCTGTTGCTCGCATCACTGACGCTCCCTAGGACTAATGTTCATCAGTCTCCATCAGCTAGAGGGGGGTTGCCCAGGCTCTAATACGCTTCTGGTTACGCAACAATATTTAACAAATTACGCTTTCCAATTCGCGACAACTTAGTATCATCTGCCAGGGGTAACCCTGTCTATTGTGCAGGTCCAACCAAGGCTTTTTTTTACATTTTGTTCTACTAGAGTATTTCTAACTATATCCATCTTCTAGTTTGGTTGGTGTTTCTGTGATATTTTCTTCCATAATTTCATTACTCTCTTGTAATTAGTTCTGTATTTGTAATTTACTTTTACGATAATGCCGTCAAATAGCTGTGTTTTTTTACGTAATTATTCCAACTATCATTTGGACTAAACAATTATAACTAAACAAATCTTGTTTATTTCAAGAGAAATAAATATTGTAGAGTCCCTAATACGTTCTTTACGCAGGGATTACAATTTTCGATCAAGCAGACATTGTCATGATGTTTAATTGATTATTATCCGTTGAGTCTTTTTTATTTTGCCGCCGATGGCGGCTAGTTTATTGTGCACCCCATACTCTCTTGTGAGCGGTAGTGCAAAAAGGAATACTGAGGGCACTAAAGGTCTTTATCAAACCTCAATGGAAATTATTACATTAGCAATTGCATCTATCCTGATCATTTTATAATTATGATTTCAGCTAGTTACAGAGATTTTTGTCATTTCAACCACTATGTATTTACAAATAATCAGTATACATTAATAGTCGGATTTGTAATATAATTTTAGTGGAGGTTTTGTGGTTTCTATTTTGGTTCAGGTTTGTACCACCGGTCCAAGTGTCGTCTTACTGTGGTGTTTATATCATGATAACTATACCCATTGTTCCCCAATACTCGTGTTATCCTTTCAAACTCCCTACTCAGGTTGCTACATTCAGTGCAGTGGGTAAGTGCTCGACGAATATAAGCGTTGAGAATGGCTTTATATCTTTCAGGGCATTCACTCTTACCATTCAGGCATAACCTTATGTTTGTAGGCTTGACATATACGCTGGTGCTTAGAGATGTTCTGTTTTTGTTATTAACACATCCAGGAGAGGCAGACTGTTATTGTTACTATTCTCATGGGTGAAACAAAATCCCGACTCTTTCTCTTTAGATGACTTTTTAGATCGATTAGTTCTACGTCTACCAATACAACTTGGCCACCTTGGGATATGTCTAATTTGGGAGTGCTTTGGTTTCTGTATACTCCGCCGAGGGTAATTTGTTTGGTGGTGTCAACCAACATACTTTTATATAATTGAGTGGAACCGGAGTCATGTGATGTGTGGCGCCAGACTCTTGTGATGTGTGGCGCCAGACTCTCCTGATGTGTGGCGCCAGACTCTCCTGATGTGTGGCGCCAGACTCTTGTGATGTGTGGCGTCAGACTCTCGTGATGTGTGGCGCCAGACTCTCGTGATGTGTGGCGCCAGACTCTCGTGATGTGTGGCGCCAGACTCTCGGGATATGTGGCGTCAGACTTTCGTGATGTTTGGCGCCAGACTCTTGTGATGTGTGGCGCCAGACTCTCCTGATGTGTGGCGCCAGACTCTTGTGATGTGTGGCGTCAGACTTTCGTGATGTGTGGCGCCAGACTCTCCTGATGTGTGGCGCCAGACTCTCGTGATGTGTGGCGCCAGACTCTCCTGATATATGGCGCCAGACTGTCCTGATGTGTGGCGCCAGACTCTCCTGATGAGTCTCGACAGACTGTGTTAAACAGCATATTTAAAGTGAAAATAATTTGTTGTAACAGCATCAGCTCTTCGTGTTATGTTACCTACGTGGAGACTACGTTAAATTGAACACAGCCATTTGATTACTGCTTCTTGAAATTATGCATCATCGTCCTGTGCGAACAATCATAAGAGCTGTTGTCAGTCAAGGCCGAAGGAAACAAGATCATTCTTGATGAGGGTGTGGTATCCTGTCGTCCTGTCTTGCTTGGTTTGAGCTGGCAGGGTGTGGTCTATTTTGTCTGTGTACTCACCTAGTTGTGGTTGCGGGGGATGAGCTTTGGCTCTTTGGTCCCGTCTCTCAACCGTCAATCAATTGATGTACATATGTGTGTGTGTATGTGTGTGTGTGTGTGTGTGTGTGTGTGTGTGTGTGTGTGTGTGTGTGTGTGTGTGTGTGTGTGTGTGTGTGTGTGTGTGCTCACCTAGTTTTACTCACTTAGTTGTGCATGCGGGGATGATGCTTCGGCTCTTTTGTCCCCGACTCTCAAATGTCGATCAACTGGTATACAGGTTCCTGGGCCTATTTTGCTCTATCATATCTATATTTGAAACTGCGTATGGAGTCAGCCTCCACCACATCATTGCCTAATGCATTCTATTTGTTAACTACTCTGACACTAAAAAATTATTTCCAATTTCTCTGTGGCTCATGAAAGGTTTTAGTATTAAGGTTCCACCTGTGTCCCTTATATAAGACCATCCACACTGGAAGTAACTGCAGAAGGCCTATTGACCCATACTTCCTCTTGCTGCTTCTATGTTGGTTCGGGGTCTTGAAATGGGTAGAATATAGTTGTGCATTAATTGGCTGTTGATTGCTGGTGTTGACTTTTTGATGTTCAGTGCCTCGCTGATGTCGAGTCTCCTGTTATCGCTGTATTTATCAATGATATCTGTGTTGCTTGTTAAGATTTCTCTGGTGATGGTCTGGTTGTGAGAAGAGATTATATGTTCTTTGATGAAGCCCTGTTGTTTTGTGCATAGTTAATCGCCAGGAAAGAGACGTTGTTGCCTATATACTGAGTTCTTTAGGGCTTACAGTCCCCAAGCGGGCATCCGAAAGCAAAGACGACGTTGAGTTTCTTCAAGGCGTTCTGTTTGGTGTCTGGGGAGTTTTTCATGAATAGGTTGGCCGTTTTTTTGTTTTTGTAGTAAATTGTCAATTGTATTTTTTGATTTTTGTCTGTAGGGATAACGTTCCTGTCAATAATATCTTTCAGGACCCTTTCCTCCGTTTTATGAGCCGTCGAAAAGAAGTTCCTGTAAAACAGTCTAATAGGGGGTACAAGTGTTGTGTTAGTTGACTCTTCAGAGGTTGCATGGCGTTTCACCTTTCTTTTTATGATGTCTTCAACAAAATCGTTAGGGAAGCCTTTGTTGACTAGGACCTGCCTTATCCTACAGAGTTCTTCTTCGACTTGCTTCCATCCTGAGCTGTGGTTGAGAGCCCAGTCGACGTAAGCGTTGACAACACTCCTCTTGTACCTGTCTGGGAAGTCACTATTGGCATTGAGGCACATTCCTATGTTTGTTTACTGTGTAGACTGCAATGTGGAAGCCTCCGTTCCTTTCCGTGACTGTTACATCTAGAAAGGGCAGCTTCCCATCATTCTCCATCTCGTAAGTGAAACTCGACACTCAACAAGCAGAATTCTGTATTGAGTTTCTTTTACCTACCTTGAGTTTCTTTTACTTTACCTTGACTCGGGTGTGAGTTTTCAGCTGGCACGAATTTTCTCGATATTTCTTATGCTTTTCTTCATTGAAGCAGGTAGTTGAAAAATTAACTCTCCAAAGTTCATTTTTACATTTTATTGGGTCTGATGCCTAGTGATGCGTTTCATAAGGTCACTCCTCACATTTTCATAGACAAATTCAACCGTGCTTAGCACCTGGTTATATCCTCTTATGGTGAGGTGGTTAAGTAACATGTTACCTAATAATACACAATAATGTGAAATATTATAAAAACAAATCCACAAGGGCCTTGATGAGGGTCTCATCAACGCCCTTGTGGATTTGTTTATTTGATATAACACGTTATTATGATTTCTGTGTTTAATGAAGTAGGGGCATCAGAGGTAGAACATATGGTTGACTGTTCCCGAGTGCATGGGGGAATGGCGTGAAACTCCCGTTAGGCTTCAGTGAAGCCTCAGGATCCTCGTGTGGACAGTAGCACACCAGGTTGCCATTATTTTACCATATCATGGTACAGTTGACTAAGGCGCGTCTGGGAACAACCAAGGCATAGGTTCGAACCCTCATCAAGGCCTTTGTGGACTGGTTCATAATTATTATCAGTATTATTATAAATACTATTATTATTTAAATATGCAGCCCTACAGTCTTAGAGTTTTTACCACGGGGAAAAGATCTTCTACTACAGATGTGATTCATTGCCTCTTAACCAAAAAAGCC